CCAATAATTACCTAGATCCAAAACAAGATGCATACCCTTTCTCGTCTAGAAATGTTGCCCCAGTATAGATGAGTGTTAGAATCAAAGAAATGTTAATAGCCCTTTGGGAACTTCTGTGCAGTTACCTGAATTCTTATCTTTCCTGTAATGGAGAAAGTAAGGTTGAATCTCAGGAGGCCCTACACCAGGATGGAAATAATGCCCAATTCCTGCCATTTTTTCCCCCTCCAGTCCTTGGCCCTCAACTCAGGGGCGGGGCACTGTCTCTGAGCTTCTTTTGCTCAAGGCTAGCACTTTACCACTTGAGCCACAGCACCACTTCCGGCTTTTTCTGTTTATGTGGTACTGAGGAATGGAACTCAGGGCTTTATGCATGTTAGGCATGCATATCTAAGCCACCTAGGCCACATTCCCAGTCCCCTGCAGGCAGTTTTTATCTAGTGTTCAGAATCTCATAGTGTGTTCTACTCTCATCATTTATTTTCCAAAAAGCAATCTGGCCTCTTATATGTCCATTTTCCCTAAGACTGGCATATGAGAAGTTGGAAGTGGTTCTTCATTGGCTTGTTACTTTCTTTCTTTCTTTTTTGTAGGTCGTGGGACTTGAACTCTGGGCTTGGGCACTGTTCCTATACCCTTCAGCTCAAAGCGAGCACTTTACCACTTGAGCCATAGCACCATTTCTGGTTTTCTAGTGATTTATTGGGGATAAAAGTCTCATGGACTTTCTTGTCCAGGCTGGCTTTGAACCATGATCATCCTCTTGAGTAGCAAGGATTACAGATGTGAGCCACCGGAACCCAGCTAGGCTCATCACTTTCTAAAATTCAATCAGAGGAATGACAATTTTTTTTTTTTGGTCCGTTGTGAGGCTTAAACTCTGGCCTGGGCGCTGTCCCTCAGCTTTTCAGCTCAATGCAAGTGCTCTACCACTTAAGCCATAGCACCACTTCCATTTTCTGGTGGTTAATTGGAGATAAGAGTCTCACAGACTATCCTGCCTGGGCTGGCTTTGAACTGTGATCTTCAGATCTCAGCCTCCTCAATAGCTAGGATTACAGCCGTGAGCCACTGGTGCCCAGTGGCTGAGTGAGCATGTCTTACTTAGGGAGATAACTAATGTTTTACTACATTTTAAACAACATAATTGCACAATGTACACAATTCTACAATTGCAATTCTAGAATTGCAATGGCCATTTCTGGGTGTGTGTTATGACATATAGTTGTGTAATACATTTTAAGCCAAAACACATTTTTCCCAAGGGGTAAAATTCACATTGTTTTATATAATTCTTATAGGGTGAATTCTGCAGAAGGTAAATCTATCAAGTGATTTCTGTTTATCTTTTAATTCCAAACTATGGCAGAAATGTTAAATAGTTTTTATTTTCTCTTAAACCTTCCATATTATTGTTAGTGATAAGTCTAGTATTCAGAGGTTTAGAAATATTCAACTTCAAAATACATGGAATCATCAACTTGAATGACAGGAATAAGCCTTCAGAAGCACAGACTTTTATTCAAATGCAAGATGACATAACATTTTATTATATATTCTATTCTATTATAATATAATTACTACTGTCATCACAATTTGTTGAAATTTTATCCTCAACTAATTGATGTTATGTCATTGACAACACTAAACTAATACATAACACATTAGTTATTATTTTAGAGCAAAACAGTGCTTTCTTTGAAGAAGGATAGTTTTAATTTTAAATTCCTGCTTTGCCACATACTATCTATGGCCTCAGTTTACTCCAACCTTGTTTCCTTGCTAGTGAGGATAGAAATACTTATCTTGTAGAACTGTGCATAATATACAATTACGTTCAGCAAGTATCTTGTACAGTACCTGATATATAATATCACTAAATAGTTGCTATGGATATTACAATCTTGTTATTAATAGTCTTACTGCTTACTGACTGTTGGAAATCAATTTCTTTATGGAGACTGAACATAGCTGAACATCAATATTGGGTTTTTTTAAAGATAAAATCTTCCGTCTGATCATCGGGCCAGTCTGAGTTACCATTCGTACTTTACAAATACAAAGTAAACTGTATAAAAGAAAAAAATGGTCTAATTTATTCCCTCAAAGTATGAATCAATACTTGACAGGATTTCTTGGAAAGATTAAGAGATTACATTTTTCATTTGACTTACTTCCTATAAAATTTCATACAGGATAAAAGGAGGGGATTACTGAGCAGTCAGTGCTATTTCTGTCTTACCTACTACTTGCACTAAATCTTTGTTGATATCATTAACTATAGTGGTACCATTCACCATGCTGCTAGCCAGGCAAATTCTGTGCCTGGGGCTTAGAAAATGGTAGTTGAATTTTTCTATGAGGTGAAATTTTTAAGCTTATAGAAGAAGGACTTTGAAACCAGCCACAACATAAAGTAAGTATGTTATGTAACCAGGATTCAGGCTGAACTGTGTGTGTTTTTGTCCATAACATATTGTTTTAGAACAACTCAAAAAGTCTGAAGAATAGTTGGGATCCAAGACATCCAATTCAGATGGGATTTCAAAAGACTTCCAACGTGGGCAGTGTTTATCTGAGAATATAAATGAAAAGAACATGATCCTGTTACCATGGAGCTTGTTATACATGGGCTTAGAACTTTGTTTTTTCCTCCCTGAAAACATGTGAAGTGGACCACATAGATACAGGGAAAGTAAGGTTTGAAGAATTAAAGCAATGTGCTTCAGGACAATGGTGAAGATAGCACTGGACTCAGATGAGTCAGATTTCAAAGGCTGGACTTTCTCCATTGAACATTTTTGCCAGAGGAAGGCCTTTAGGTACAAAGTACCCTAGGAAGGGCAATGTCCACTCAACTCAATACGTTGGTAACTGAGCATCATTTACATGCTAAACTCTGTGTTCAGTCTAAAGAAAATTAAGAAGTGGTTACTCCACAGTATGAGTTTACAATCGAGAAAAGATGTAGACCAAATTACCTCCATTTTCCCCCTCATCTGTAGAAAGAATTAAAATGTTCAATTTTCCCTCATAAATAAAAGATGATTAAGTCTTTCAACCCACGTTTCAGTGGAGAGGAGACTTCTTAATGATTGTTTTCTAATGTGTCACCTTTTCTTCAAATCTAGAATTTCTCAAACTGGAAAGTAGAAAAACGGTCAAACACATGAGCTGACAATTTATAATATAGTAGAAATGATAAACATAAAAAATAGGTGCTCAGAATCGTCAGTAATCTGAGAAAATCGATAGATAATATTTTGCATGTTGGGGGAAAGTTTAATAATGCTAATATTGAGGGAACTGGGGGGGGGGTCATAGAGAAACCCTCAAACATGGATGGTAGGAATATAGACTGGACAGCTCCTTGATATAAAGCTTGAAATACTCATATAAATTAACAATGTATCTCCCAAGACTCACTATGAAAAATGTAAAAGATCAAGTGTAAAAAGAAAAAATGTTTGCACAAACCTGCAGAACAGGCAAAGAACTATTATCTGAGATGAGAGAATGCAATAGACTGCAATAGAAAAATCCTTATGCTTTGCAATTCATTGCAAAAAATAGGAAGGTGAATGAAACCAAGCAATCATAATCAGAGATGTAAAATAAAAAAAACAAAATTAGAAATCTAGACTAGACATAGCAAATGACAAACATATAAAAATAAAAAGTCCAAGTAAAGTCAATGTTAGAAAGGATGAAGAAAAGTGAACAGTCACATAAATCTGTACAACTCTGGAAAATGGTATGATAAACATTGCCTGTTAAAGTCTCACAACAAAACCTGACTCTGGGTCAGTCCTTTCCTCCTCTAGCACATGTGCAACTAACAGGCAGATATGTCCTAGAATGTTTATAACTATTTGTTGAGAAGACCTAAAAGTGGAAACAGTACAGATGAATATCAAGAGTAGAAAGGTTAAATAAGTCAGCACGTCTTTTTTTTTTTTTTACAATAGCGTTAGAAAATAGAACACACTTGAACTACACTGCATCAACATTTGATGAATCCATATTATGTTGAGAGAAGCCAGTCAATGGAAAAATACAGTATTAATTCCACTTAAATAGCATTGCACCACTTTGGAAATTTGTACATGAAAGCAAAGGAAATCTTGTAAAAAAAGGAGGGGTAGGGGATTTCTGGTGGTGATTACTTATAGAGCAAGAAAGAGAAGACAATGGTTAGGACATTTTTAAGGTGCTGATATTGTTCTGTTTCTTAACAAGGTGTTAATTGCCCAGGTTATCATTCTATATGTTCTTCTTGTTCATATCATTACTAAAGATGGACATGTTTCATACACTTCAGTATGCGTAGCATGTTTCACAATAAAATGATTTTCACCATCTCTGCGGCCAGACCACTCATTTAGAGTTCAGTGTAAGCAATCTGCATTGAGATTCATACACACAAATGAGACAGGCCATTTCGAAGGGAAAAGAAACACTAAGCACCCCAGAGTAGGAGACTAGAAAGAGGCTCATGGGGACGGTTCAAGGTCCCCTTCTCAGAAGGCAACAACTGGTTTTCAGAGACTCTGGGCTGAGTCCCGTTCTGCCTCTGTCATGGGCAAATCTCTAATCCTCAGTGTCTTCGTGAGGGTTCTGTAAAGTGCACTGTGAAATTCAAAGAGGAGGAGTCACAGGAAATAATAGTAATTGTTTTTCAGTTGGGGAAACTGAGGTCGTAGTGACTCGACCGCCGTCACCGCTTTGGAACTCAGAGCGGCTTTGTTCCTCAGACCCACGTCCTGATTCCCAGGCCGTCGTAGCTATTCTCTCTTCCACAGGACTTCGAGGCTTAGTTTGATGTCACAGAAGAACCGCCCCGCCCCCATCCCGCCACGGTGGAACCACGCCCCCTCTGGCCCTCAAGCCCCGCCCAGCTTCCGCCGAGCCCCGCCCCGGCTTCTCGCCCTCGCGTGCTTCCGGCCCCTCCCCTCATGGCTGCTATGACAACGAGTCCGGGCCCCGCGCTCAGCTGCTACTCGGGCGGGACCCAGGCTGGACCGCGGGCCCCGGCCTGGGGGCCACAGCTGCCACCGGCGCCGCCACCTTGTGTCTTCCCCATCCCCGCCCCTCCCCGAGTCTCCCCGCCTCACTCGGGCCCGTGGCCGGGGTCCCTCCCCGCCACCTCACCCCGCGCAGATGCCGAAGGTGAAGGCGTTGCAATGCGCCCTGGCGCTGGAGATCCGCTCTGTGAGTACCGGTCGGGCCTCCCGCCCCGGAACAGCTTCCCTCTGGGACCGCCTCTTCTCCAGGGGGTACCTGAAAACTCGGGGTCCCTCCCCCGCAGGCGTCCGTCACCGTCGGAACCAGTGACTTCCGAGGAGCCATGGCGCCCGTCACGTCGGGGCCTGCTCCCCTCCAAGTCGCGCATCTCTCCGCGCCGGGCCCCCGGCCTCCCCCCAGCCTCCAGTGTGGTTGCTTTTCACTGAACACTCCAGAGCTGCCCTTCCGGAGGGTGGGGTTCTCTTCAAACTCCTCCGCTGTGATTTTCGGGCTCCCCTGGCCCGGGTGTGGGGCCTGGTGGCATTTCCGTCCAAGTCACAAAGTGCAAGCCAGTGGGGACTGAGCCTCCCAGCCTCCAGGGAAGGGGTGAGGCCCTTTTTCCTTAGCATACAGTCCCCACCCACAACAACTGAAATGTGGCATCACCCCAGCAGTACTTTGCAATCCCCTTCCAGGAGAAACCGCGTTCCTTAGAAACCATTTCAGTACCCCTCCCCCCCCACCCGGTGCCCCCCCTCCCCCCACCCCTCTGACTTTAAGAGGGGGATTGGGATTCCTCCACATCCTTCCAATCAGTGCACAGAAATTCCCCTCAGTTTTTAGAGGAAATCTTCTCACTCTCCAAACTTGTAATGCCAACCATTCTCTCCAGACTGGTTTAAGAGAATCCTTTCCCAGCCTCTTGGTGGAAATCCAGCTGAGGCTCTGCATTGCTGTGAGAACTCCATCATCCTGGATAATCAAAGCACTTCCAAGGAGTATTGAACTCCTTCCCCTCTTTATTTTCCTCTTTGGACAAAAGTTCCACAATGGAGGAAATCTCCTCTCCCAAATCCCCCTATGGAAGCCCTCTCTCTCCCCAGCCCCCTTCTGGATCTCCCAGAGGATGCTTACAGGCCCATCCTCACTGGTCAGTCCTGGACCTCCCCCGGGAGCCCTCAGCATTTCCTTCCTGCTGCCATGCAGGCCAGGCTTTTGTGTCCATTTAACCCTGGTTTGCATCATCCCTCTCTTCCTGGGTGGTATTCCTTACTAGTTAAGCAAACCATCTTGGAGATCACAAAACTGCTTTAGGGCTTTAAGGAGCAGAACCTTGGGTGGAGCAGAGTATGGGACAAAGGGTTTCTAGGAACTCTTGGTTTCCGGGCAATCCTGCAGCGATTTTAATCAGAGACACTGCAGTCTTGGCTTGAAGTGTTTGTATCACAAGCTGGCTTTGAGAACGTTTTGTAAAGTAGGATTAGTCTGTTGAAAGAATACACACAACCTCCTAAACCTCTCCTCCCAGGACTTGTGAAACACTTCCCCAGATCTGCTTTCCTAGACTGTTATTGGCTGCTTCTTCCTCCTCTGTTAGCCAATGGGGCTTGGCTTATTCTGCTGAGCACTACTCCCCTTCCCTGGCCAGAACTATAACTTGCTAAAAGGAAGTTCACTGCTATAATTGATTGTCGCCTAAGGAGTCAGAGAAACGCATTTTATTTCGTTATGTTGCACACAGAAAGTGAATAATTGCATACTGGAGCTTTGTTATTCATCAAAGAAAACTATGCAGAAGGAAATATTCCTTTTCTTTTTTTCTTTAATAAACACTTGAGTTGCAGAGTTTTAGTGTTCTGAAAAATCTTAGAAGTCACCACGTTTCATGCCTTCTACAAGTGACAAAGTAGAGCTGTGCCATGACTATTTGTCAAGGGTTGCATAAGTGTTTTGGAGAAAATCTATAACAGATGCTAAGTTTTCTGTCAAAGGCCTTCTCAATGGCTCTGATAGGAGGAACAAAAGATCATTACTAATCTTACAAGTTAAAGAAGCCTGATTAATTTGACTCTGAATAGAGGAGATTTATGGCCAGGGAGATATCTATTTATCTGTCTTTCTATCTGTGCATAGATAGACAGACAGAGAGAGAGATATGCACATTTTTTAAAACGTCTTTCAACTTCACATATATACAAACCATTGTGCACTTGGCTTTCTTCTCTTCATTTAATACGTCCTGGAGATATTGTCATTGGAAATTAGCATCTTTTCTCCTTGACTTTTCAAACTAAAAAAAAAATCAACATTTTTAGACATGCAAGTAGTTGGGAGAATAATTTTGTGAATAACTCATATGATGTACATACATGAAGTTGGCTTATCTTTACACACATATTCATATGTACATGAATATGTACAGATATTTATATTTGTCTATATGAGTGTTTATGTACAAATAAATATTTTTGATGAAAAATTGAAAGTAAATTGTTAACATCACAGGGTTCAGCTTTTTTCAAGACATGTTAAGAATATTATTGTGCATAAGATAACATAAAATATACTTTCCTTTTTCCTAACTTTTTGTGCTAGATATTGAACATAGGCCCTCAGGCATTTTAGGCAACCCTGATACTTAAACCACACCCCCATACGTAGCTCTTTTGTTTGTGGTTTGTTTTTAGTTAGTGTATTAGGACTTTGTCTTTGACTTTGTGACCTGGAATTCTTCATTGGGATGCTCCTGATTTTCGAGTAGCTGGGATTATAGGAACTCACTATCACTCCTGGCTATTAGTGATAATTTCTTATTATAAAGTCCATACTTGGATTTTTCAAGTTGTCATGTAAATGATTTTTATAATTCATCAAATCAAGATCCAATCAAGGTTTCCATACTGAAATTGTTAGCTCTTTTTAGTCCATTTTAATAGACACCAACTTTTTTCATTTCAATATCGTTCCTTTTTTCCCTTCTTATGAATTTTGAAAAATTCATATGTTCATGTCACCTTTACCAAAGTCAAGACTTAGAATGTTTCCACTCTACAAATTTCCCTTGTGTTCCCTTACAAATCCCATGTAAAAGGAAGTACCATTCTAGTATATTGGAGGGATATAATATACTTTGGTTGGCTCATCTTGTTTTTGAGATTCTGTTATACGGGAATTCAATTTCGAGGTACAAAGAAGCCACATTTTAAGAAGTCAAATTGGGAGTCTTTATTAGAAAGACAGTGACTGCAGGCGGACACATGGCCCCAGAAAACTTGCAGCCTTGAATACACTAACACTGTAAGAAAACTGAGCCATAAGAGTAGTAAAGCAAAGACAAAGCGGAAAAACAATACCAACAAACCAGATCAACTCCAATGGAGAGCCAAAGAGGGATGCCTTGGTGACCTGAGGAGAGTCAGGAGACATGAGGCATGGTGTGCAATGGTGGCTGAGTTGGTTGAGGCCTACATCGGGTCATGGTCACAGGGGGCAGAGTCACAGGGAGCTTGAGAGTCTTTCCAGTTTATGGCACAGAACGGGCAGGTCCAGTAACATATTGTCCAAGTCCCTGCCCTTGCCTCTAGGAATTTAGGCACCACCATCACCCCCATAACCTAGGAGTAAGACTTCACCTTCATCCACCAAGAAGAACAGATAGCTAAGCTCAATATCCATATATATGTATATATATATATATATATATATATATTTATCAGTGGTTTGTTTCTTCAAACTATGGAGTAGTTTATTTACATGTTTGTTTACTCATTCTATCTCTGTCTTTCTAAAATCTACAAAAGTATATATATATATATATATAATTGTACTTTTTCTGGAATGATATGATATGCCTAATAACTTGCTTTTAAAGAGCATCTACAGGATTATATTTCTCAATACTTACACATGTAATGTTTAATACGTATCTTTTATAGAAGGCATGTTGACTGCTTCATTTTTGATCTTTTTATTATTATTTTAATTTTCACAAGACTACTAGGGAAAATAATTTCCTCCCAGCAGTATGTTTTCTTTCATATACTATGACTGTTGGCCAACCCCAAATGTATGGTATGTCCAAAGCTTTCATGCTTGCTATGTTTTCACCTTCATAACATGATGGTATTACCATATTGCACAAAGATCACTACTAATACAAGAAACTAGAGTTAAGCCAAATGCCTAGGCAATGCAACTGCCCAATTTTCCATACTATAATACTGCCAGCGTCAGGTTAATGTAGAATTCCCAGTGTTTCTTCTCTATATTCCCTTTACCTAACATAATTCAAATAATTATAGCATTGGAATATTCTTTCAGTCACTACTCATCTGAACACTTATTTATCTACGAGATCCTTATATGTTATGGTCTTTGTAAATTTACCTGAAGTCTATACTTTAAAAACTTGATTATAAAGTACTTCAGACTTGCATTTTAAAAATAAAATATTGCACATGTAAATGCCTTCTTTGTACCTTTTTCTGCCCCATTTTCCTTCCTCTTTTACTCCCTTGAGTTTATATAACCAGTATCCTAAAATTGTAATGCCTTTCTTCATTCAGGTTTTATACAATGTGTGTGTGTGTGTGTGTGTGTGTGTGTGTGTGTATGTGTGTTGTGTATGTCAGTGTGTTCACTTAAGAAATGTTACACCAATGGTATCATGTTGTATGTATCCTGTCAGTTTTGATTATTGGAAATTGTAATTCATTTCTTAAATTGTTCTATGCTGTTTTTATAATAGTGATTTAAATTTGTTTCCCTCTTAATGGACTTTTAAATACCAGTTATTTCCACTTGTTAATTTTACTATGTTTCAATTACTGTTAAGCCTGGACACTGTGCTGTAGGGAACACTGGAAATTCTTTGGGTGACCTTGGTTTCTGATGGTGTTTTGGGGGTCCAATTGGTAATGTTCAGTAATGTACTTGATTTCTCATTGAATATAGTAGCGCTGTCCTTATCAGTGGAGTAAATTTTCTAAGACACCCACCCTGCCCCCCAGTGGATGCCTTAAACTGAAGATGGTGACACATGCTATATAAATTAATAATTTTTTCATATTAACTAAACATTTGTCATGTACTGTAGCTAGAACTTTTGTAGTCTGGAGCATTAGTACAACATTTCTTACAGATTTCTTTTCCTTCACAATTTCACAGGTAGAAAGTTCATTCTTACCAGAGAGCTTAGCAACCTGATC